CAGGTCCGTCCTACTCATTCTGGACAATGCATCATCGCACAATCCATTGGCTTACCAATGTGAGACTGCTTATGTTCCCCCCAAACACGACGGTCTTCCTTCAACTTATGGACGCAGGCATCATTAGTGCTTTCAAGCGGCACTACAAATGTTGTCAGCTTGACCATGTGATAGAGCTGGTTGATGGCGTTACCGAGGCAATTGACAGTGGAGTGAAGAAAATGTACGCCGTCGCCGTGTTGACGGCCATGAGATGGTCAATTCAGGCCTGGGATTGTGTCACATCAACAACCATTCGAAACTGCTGGAACCATACCGGCATAGTTTCCCGCGGCCACTCAATTCAGCGATTGCTCAACTGATAACTGTCAAAAGCAATTATCGTGTTTCCTTTGTTCTTTTGATTTCAATTACAATTTATTTTTTGGTGAGGGAGCAAACGTTGAGGGAGCTCTGTACTTCGAATGGACGTGACGCAACGATAGACATGGTCGATGCACTCGCCGATGGACATTTTCGCTTTCGGCGCTGACGACTGGAAGTCGCCGCCCACGCTCTCCTGCGTGTTCGTGTTGTCGCTGATGCGGATGCTTGCCGCCAACGCCTCCCCGTCAGATCGCAGAGCTGGGAAAGTGAATTGACCTTGCAATTTATTGACCTCGCTCGATGTACCAGTTAAGCCACCGTTTAACTTTCGGGTACTCGCGGACGACCGCTTCGCGCGCTCAATGAACATCTCAGCATCCTCCTTATCCAGCAACTCGATGCACTTGTCGAGAAACGACTACTCGCGGTTATGCGGTACCAGGGCACCGTTGCGGACAACGCAACATGATGGAGGGTACGCTTGAAATGAATCGAGCAGCACCGGTAGTACTTGTGGATATGAAGGCTGACACTGTCCGCGACGCCGCAATAGCATCTCGAAGCGATCTCGAATCCACAGCTTTCAGCGTCGGAGAAAGCACATCAATTTCCCGGAAAGCTGTTGCCCCACTCGGACAGGTCGACCGACAAGGCCGATGCCTCGAACACCGCCGTGAGTTGCGCCGCACAGTATCGTGCGCTCTTGCCCATCAGAATGCTGATCGCCAAAGGGATATAAACGGATATGGGGGTCAAGTACTGGGCATAAGCATGAAGTCAACGTATCATTTCATATACCACTCTTTCTAGTCCATTATAATATACTTCAAAATAACTGCTTAAAGGAAAATGTTTACGTAAAGGATGACCTAACGACGGTGAGGTCCGGGCCGTGCAAGGATTCTTCGATAGTGTCCGTCTGAAGACTGGATTCTGCTGCTTGCACTCGTCCGCGTTGAAATGGACTTACCAGAGCGATATGTCCGTCTGAGGATGTCATACTGCTGCTGGCGATAATATCGACGTCCATACTATTCTCAAAGTTGTCCAACAAGCCGATCTGTGACGTGTTGCGGTGCATGTGGAGAATTTTTCGCCGTTGGTACGCCATCTGGGATAAGTTCGCAAACGCTGGGTGGCGGGACACCAGGCCTAGTCTGAAAGATGTACCAATCTGCAATTTCTTCGGCCGTACCTCGCTGGCGTCTCTCACAAGTGCTTCGAAGGCCACTCTGCTGATCAGATCACTCTGCTGATCAGGCCACTCTGCTGATCAGATCGGGGCGCAACGGGTGCGGTTTGCGATGCTCGTGTGTGCCGAGGTGCATCAGCTCCATCTCCTGGCCTCGCAGGACAGACATCATCGTGACCGCACATGCAACGTGGCGCACGGTTTGCCCGCGACGGCGACAGGTCGATAATGTCGGCAGAGGCGTCCCTCTCTTGACTTTCAACCGGCGAGGAATGCGTGGTCGTTCCGAGACCCCGCATCCGTCGATGGGACACTCGTATTTGCCTAGGCAGGACTTGTGGTGTGTCGTTGAGTGCTTGCTACGGTTGGAACCGTACATTAAATTGCCCACCTAGCCCCCCGAACATCTGCTCGAGTGCAGTCTTCCGGGATGTCAATTACGTACTGGACGTCCCCGTTCGGGTATTCTGCGCTGCTCGCGTGATCTGACGCCTCGACTGACGTCTCGGTGAATCCTCAGGCGTCGTTGACGACGAGGCCAACCAGCCGGCCCAATGGCGTGGTCGCCGAGTGCGAGATGGGCGGCGTCGCCCGCGTCGACGGAGTTCAAACTGTGTCAAAGAGATGGGCCACACGCTTGGGGCGAATCGGCCGCCCGTTCTCATACGTAGCCACCACCTAGCAAGCGTGCGAGGTTGATGATCGACAACTGCACGTCGGGCATAGCTGGCCGTAGGCTTTTTTAGAATATTGTTGTGATGGGAATGAAGGCCATGTCCCGACCCGACATAGGCTGATCCCTGCGGGGGATCGCTGGTGTTGTGGTGGGAATGAAGGCCACGTCCCGACCCGACATAGGCTGATCCCAGCGGGGGATCGCCGGGCGTCGGCCGTTCTGGAGAACCCACCTTGCGTTGGTAGAAGAAACCCTAGCCGGTAGAATTGGCTGAGGATGCTGATGGCTCTGACCAATCAGAAGGTCGATCACACGCTGAGGATGTGTTGATGGCTTTGACCAACCAGAGGCCGGCCAAGTGTTCTTGCCAGTTAGTCTTTCACTTTCCAATCTGCCTAGCACCGGTTTAGTGAAGTCGATCAATCAAGTGTGTGGTTCAAGGGTGGCGGCGCTCCCCCATTTGGTTGTTCAAGTTCACAGCGAGGCGGACTCATCTCAAAGTACACTTTAGTGTCAGTCCGTTCTCACCAGCGGGACTGATATGGAGAGGAATCACGGACGTTCCCGGGAAGGGAATGTACCGCCGCTGGCTGACCCGAAGACGTCGCCGACGTCCCGTGGTGGCAGCGAGACCGAAGAGGGGAAGCCTGGTGCGGAGTCGGGAGTGGACCCCTCGGGAGGGACCCTGACCGAGATGCCGGATACCGGCGAATCGAAACCATCCAATCTCATCTCGATTAGCGATAAGTCAAGACGCGGACCCGGTCCGGCAGTCTCACCTCGCCGATGTCCATCAGAATCCCCTGTGTCCTATGTGGAGCCATACCGACGTATTGGATCGGGCTGGGAGGTGGCACCACGACATGGCTTGGAACGCGAGTACGTCGAAGAAGACTACCCACCGGAACCTCCGACACCGGCCGAACTCAGACGTGAGGAAGGTCGTAAGGAGCGTGAAGCCAGACGACTGTCGAGACTTGGTCGACCTGATGCAACTCCTGACTCAGAAGAAGAATTGTCGGAGTACTATCAGGAACAACGCCGCAAACGCGAGACTCGCCAAAGCAAACCATGGCGAAAGATCAACCGCAAGCCCAAAGACTGGGAACGTGTGGTCCGCGAAGATCGGCAAGAGAAGATGCGTGCAGAAACACTGGCCACGACTGGCTGGGGTATGGGCACCCCTTCGGCACAAGCATCCCTTGTCCTCCAAGATATTCAGCACCCACGCATTACCTCGGTGGACCGCGAAGAGCTGGTCCTGTGGAAAAAGAAGCGTGACAAGTATGAAGATGAGCTGAAGGCCAACGCCCAACGTATGGGGCAGAATTGGCGCTCACTGGCGGTGACCTGGATCGAGTCTGCTGATCGAAGCTTGTTGGAAGCGAGCTGCATGTACCTGTGGCACATCGATCGCGATGCTCTGGACGAAGACGAGTTTCAGGCGCGCATCCGCAAGATCATTGGGGAACCGGCCAACAAGTGGACCCTTACCAAGTCGAATTTGCTGGAATATTGCAGAGGACTGCGGGTTGACCCCTTGGGGGACACCGCGAGCAGGACCGTTGGGTTCATGGAGAAAGTCCACAACGTTATCGACTGCCAAGGGCTGAAATCGCAGCTGAAGTCCCCGACCATGATGAAAATGTTCGTGAAGGTGGTGGCGTCTTGCATTACCCCTCTGAGCGTTCGACATATGGTCGAAGAGCAAATGAAGACGGTTGAAACCAACACCCTCGTCCAGTTTGCAACTGTTCTCAGTGAACAACTCGAACGTGCTTACCAAGCCGATCTCGTGAACAAGTCGCGTGGCTGGAAGCGCCATCTCGAGACTGATGAGACCGGCAAGCGCAAGGACAAATACAAGTTGCGCGAAGAGAAACACGTTCGTGACAGCTACTTCTATAATGGGAATTCTGCGCGGCCCAAAGCAGGATACAACGCCCATACGCAAAGTACTCGTGACGACCTGCCTCGTGATGTGAGATCAACGGGCGGTCAGCCGACGAACAAGTACGGAACTCCGTCGATGAAGCGTGAAGACGGAGGACAGCGTGACGTGAAGCGCCCAAAGTTTATGCCGGGCCAGGACGAACATGGCAACCTATGCTTTGCATGCCGTC